GAGGCGCAGGCGGATGTGGGGGGGGGGAGCTCGGATGGGTCCGGGTAGCGCTGCCGGGGGCGGTTCGGCCGGTGTTGCGCGCACACGTGCGTAGCTAACGAAGTTGGGATCCGGGGAGGACCCACCCACCCGCGCTTGTGTGTAAATCCCAGCAGGGGACGAAGCTGTTGCTCGTGTTCACTCTGCAGCGGCAGCCTGTCTGGCACGTGCAGATCTCACACTAACCCGCTTGGGGGCTTTTATTTTAACGCACAGCGCAGCCTTAAAATCGGCGTGGCCAGCCACAGGCAGCCTCGCCGTTGGGAGGGAGGAATCCTTTCTGCCTTGTAGAGCAGTTTCACCCTCAGGTGCGTTTATCACTGGCTGCCAAAAGAGCCTTGTGAAGCTAGTGGCAGCCAGTGTAATCTAGAACAGCCTTTAGGCATAGAAACCATCTCTGTATTTTCAACTCTTCTGAGTTGCACTGCATGCTCCTGGGCTGCATTTGGGGACATGTACTGAAAGTTATTTTGAGGACAATATTTATATACAAATTAGAATCACACTACTTAAAGTGATCTGTTTAGACAAATCATATTTTTATCGCTTTTCTCCTGTTTTTCAGATACAGACAGTACCCATTGGCACACATTATGTATTTAACACGTCTCACTTTACAAGAGGTTGGTATGACAGTTTGTGAATGGTATGGTTATTTTTAATGGAATATCTGACACTTGTAGATAATTTTAAAAAATTACTTAACTAATCAATAGGAATGGTAAGGGATGCTTATTGGGTAGCTGAGTCAACTACTTGCTTCCCCTTCCCCCCCCTTGCTGCCTCTATCAGAGGCAGTGGGAGGGGGGGTGGAGGAGAGGTGAAGGATGCTGGTGCTGGGGGTGGGGGGGAGGGGAGACAGCGTAAAAGCTGGTTCCTCCCAGCACTGTGTGCAGTATGGGAGGTGGGTAGAGGACGTAAAGTTGCAGCAGTCCCAAAGCTGGCCATAGCAGGGATAGCAAGTGCCCTCCCTTTATCAACTAATCAAGTAGTGGATGGAAATTCCATTGATTACTCAATTAGCTAATTAATCGCAACTTAACATGTCTACTAATTGTTCTTTTTTTGAAGGTGATCCCTTATTTATATGTGGCTAAGCTAGTTTTTGCACTGAGAAACGAAATGATCACTTCACACATTTAAATATTTGCCTTTGTGTTACCCAATCACTATCTCCCACAGTGAATGTGGTGTCAAAAAAGGCATACAAGAACTCTTGCTGAAAAGGTTTTGGGACATGGTTATGTACCTTTTCCCTCCACAATTCTGCAAGGACAGAATCTTTGTAGAAAAATTGGTATTTTGATAATAGGTATGAGCAGTCTTCACATGCATAGACTTTATGGATAGAAGGGGCCATAATTACTTAGTAGCCTGACCTTTTGCACATTGCAGGCCATAGAACACCCTCCCTCTTTTGCTAATTGCTTCTTAGTAGAGTTCAGGGGAGGTTCCTATCCAGATATAATTATAGAGCTACAAAATTTATCATAATTGCTATACATTTGCTGGCTTGAGTTGGTGCTGCACCAACTCTGCACTGTGATTCCAGTGTTTAGGTCAGTTCTTAAAACAAAAAATTTCAAGAATATGGTCATGGGTGGCCAATGGGAGAAGTGTGGGTGGTGCCCTGCAGGTTGGAATACCACCTATTCATTGTATTAACTTGTATTTGTTTGTGTTCAGTATAGAAAATGAGTCTGAATAAATAGAAGACTACGGTTTCTGTACACATGGCTTTGTATACTATGGTAAGAAAGAAATGTGGTGAGGTTTGTTTTTTTTCATTCATTGTCTATATTGGTTAGTGAAACTGTTCCATATGCAGTTGGAACCTATCTTTAGGTCATTTTCCATAAACAGTGATTATTTTCTAGCAGTTTGTCATAGTTTGGGAGCAGTTATTGTGTAGAACTCTTAAGTCTTGTTTGTAAGGTGGGCAAAGATGTTCTAACTTATTATTGATTAAATATTCATAAGTCTTCTAAAGCTGAAATGAATTGCAGAATATTGGTGCAAAATGTCACAAACCAGGGCTGGGGAACCTTTTGGAGGTGAGGGACTAATGAGCCACAGAAAAATCAGTCAGGGCCACAAATGAGGACCAGAAGAGAGAGAAAGATTCACTTCACTTCCCTTAAGCTCCTCCCCAGATCCTATGGGAACTGGGGCTAGTAGATCTTGTGTGGGACCTCTAGGCTTTCCGTAGGGCTAAAAATGAGCAATCAGTATATGGGAGGGAACTACTGAGGAGCAGGTTGAGGATGTGGGGTCTGGACAGGAGTTAGGATGCAGGAATAGGGTTAGGATGTGGGATCTGAGCAGGAGTTAGGGCGCAGGAGTGGTTTGAGAAGTAGGAGTGTGAGGTATGGAAGAGGGTGCAGAAGTGGGCTGGAGGATTTGGATGGGGGAGTGTGGGAATGGGAAGAGACCTGCAGGGCACCACCCACACTTCTCCCATTGGCCACAGTACAGCCAATGGGAACAATGAGGGGTGCTTGCACAGAGAACTTCCATGTAACATGCAGAGTCTGGGTACCAGATCCAACCCCATCTTGCCTGGATCAGGTCTGTGAGGCTGTATGTTCTCCCCTGCAGTAAGGAGCTGGCACTTGAACCGCAGCACGGCTCATGCCCTTATGGTGGGAGGGGAGCATTGATTCTCACAGACTGGCTCTGGCCCCTACCCTATCAAACTATTCAGAATTCAGGCAGTGGTCTGTCTTGTTGCCTCAGAGCTAAATTGTAGCAGTTGGAAGTGAATCATAATAGATTTTTCTAGTTTCCACTGGAACTGAATGTTTTAGTTCATTTGTTCTTAATGCATACAAGCATGATAATGCAAAACACTATATATTTTAAGGACTCTTACACAAAAATTAAAAAGTAGTCTCTTTCAATAGCTTCTAGCATAACATTGATGTTTCCTGGATAAGGCTGTTTACAGCAAACTTTACAGCTAGACATTTTTAAGAATGTGTAGCATTCGTGCCTTTGTGTTGCCCGCTCATTTTTGTTACTAATGATTGTGGTGTCAAGAAAGGCATAAAGAAAGTCCTTCTGCAGTATTATTTGATACTGGGGATTAATCTCTCCCCTGATTCTGCTGAATAAGGGACAGTTGTATGACTTTAACTTCTATTGTGACTAAACTTAGAATAGTGCTTGTAATTGAAATGGGATCTGAAGTCCTGCTTAATTAAGCCAGGAACTAAGATGTCCCTATGGCTGTGTCTAGACTGGCCAGTTTTTCCGGAAAAACTTGCCAGCTGTCTACACTGGCTGCTTGAATTTCCGCAAAAGCACTGACTTCCTACTGTAAGAAATCAGTGCTTCTTACAGAAATACTATGCTGCTCCCATTCAGGCAAAAGTCCTTTTGTGCAAAACTTTTGCACAAAAGGGCCAGTGTAGACAGCTCAGATTTTTCTTCTGCAAAAAAGCCCCAATCGCGAAAATGGCGATCGGAGCTTTTTTGCGGAAAAGCACGTCTAGATTGGCACGGACGCTTTTCCGCAAAAAGTGCTTTTGCGGAAAAGCGTCCGTGCCAATCTAGACACTCTTTTCCGAAAATCCTTTTAACGGAATACGTTTCCGTTAAAAGCATTTCCAGAAAATCATGCCAGGCTAGATGTAGCCTATAATGTGTAGGTATTTTTGAAAATGTCTTTGCAGACTTAACTGTTTCCAAGCTGAAACAAAACCAGATTTTATGAAACTACTTTATGCTACCCTTGAGGATCTTGTGGTTCGCTAATTTATAAACATGCTGGATATTAATCTACATCTGATATTTGGTATTTATTTATTTTTTTATTCAGGAAAAATTTCTACATAATCAGCTCAAATTCAGCATTTCCTCCACCAGAAGAAAGTTCTATAAGAAATATACAGGTAGATATGTTTTCATGAATCATGAAAATCATGGTAACGTATTAGGTTGGACCTCCCTGGTCCAGCACCCTTGGAACCTGACTCGTGTGGAAGGAGGGATTTTGCCAGACCAGGAGAGGTTATTTCTGCCCGTCCCCCAAGCCTACTCCTCCTGATGGCTGCCAGCTCCCTTCCTTGCCACTGCCCTGCTGCTGGGGCTCCTAGCCCCAAAGCAGCTCCGGATCCTGTGCCGCTAGCCCAGACTCCTGTGGCAGGGCTCCTGCCTCTGGCCCTCTGCCAAGATTCCCTGGTCCCAGTTTAGAGAGTTTCAATCTGTAGTATGTTCACAAGATGATTCAGGTAGCTTTTAACTGTGTGTGGCACCAATAGGAGGAATGTCTCATGTACTAAAAAATAAAGACTATATTTTTTAATTGCTGCATTTGTTGACTTTTTCTATGTACCACCTTCTCAGCTAAAATCAGTCCATTAATATTGAACCAGAATAAATATTATTGCCAGCATAATATGGGAAACTTTGTAACACTACAAGTGATTATAAATAACTTGGTTTTGATAGTGTGAGGAAATATAAATTTATTCAGCTGTTCCATTTGAAAAGCCTCACCTTTCAAGTTGCTCTGCCTATGAATCATGCATGTTCAAGCTTTACTTCAGTTTGGTAAACCAGTGTATCTTACAGCTTCAGAAACTGTAAACTATACCTCACCTATTAAAAAATTAGAACCAAAGCAGTTAGTGCTAGGAATTTCTACCTCTAGTCAGGTTCTGACTTGTGTTCATTGTATCAAGTGATAATTCCAAGTTCTCAATGCTGTGAAATCAAAAATCTCATTCTTGATCAGGCAAGTATGTAATAGTGAACTGCGTGTCTGATTTCCAAATTTGCCTCAAGCAAAGGTTTAGACAAAACACTAAACTTCTAGAGAAGCAAGATGTAACTATTAGATCTAATGGAAAGCTGGGGGATTGTTAATTTTCCAGAGATGAATATCTGTGCAAGACTAGTGGGACTCCCCTTGTTTTTAAGGGTTGCTACTTTGGAACCTAGATGCTCCAATGTTGCATCTTTCAAAAGGTGACGATTATTAGACATCTACTGTAGTTGGTGATTTTCTTCTTGTGTAGTGCAAATATTTGATTTTTAAATACCTAGATGCAAATTTTGCTACTTCCAATTCAATTTAAAATAAAGCAAACAGCTGTTTCATAGATAATTTAACTGTGTACATAGAATATATACTTCCCAGTCTGATCTCTCATGCATAAAATATCTGCTGTAGTTATAAAAATAATTTTTGCCAAACTTAAATATATAGCAGTAATACAGTAAGTAGTTTAGCATCTTTGAAAGGTACCATTTGTTAAAGGAAGGAATGCAACTCAATGGGCATTTTCTTCAAATGATCAGATGTAAAAACTTAAATCAAAGTGTCTAGTTTACTCCTTAATATGGAGAATTTTTACCTTGTGTTATATAAAGGATACAGTGTTACTCCTATGGTCTCTAGTTGCTTCTGACACTGTCTGATGTTTTTTTAGTCAGCGTTGAAAAAACATTTTCAGTTTGACCATCATTAGTATACAATTCTTTTCCCCACAATATGCAGATAAAATTGCACTGTCTACTCATGCTAATTCTAGGGAAAAAGTCATGTCATAAATAATTGAAACTTATCATTGGAAATACAATCATAATAGCAGAGGGGAGGGGTAGTTCTGCCCTCAGTTCCATCCCAGATTGCAGCACCTCCTTTTCTCCAAGCCCTCAGTGCTGCCTGGAGTTCAGTGTGCAGCATTGGTGCTTCCCTGTGCAGCTCTAAGCCTCCTGGAGCACGCTGCATGGTGCTTCAACAGTGATTTAAAGGATGTGGGGCTCTGGCCACTGCTGCAGTAGTGGTGGCTGGGTACCCGAGGTCCTCTTGAATTGCCAAGCCCCTGGATCAGTTGCCCCCTTCTCCCTGTCAGTGAGCCCATGTAGTTTAAATCCTGGACCTCTACATTAGTTCTCTTCGAAATGCTTATTCTATTTTCTGAGCTGTTATAATGTGGAATGTGTTTCAATGTGTAAATGAGAAAATAAGGTTGAGAATAGGATAAGTACATTAGTCCTTGGGGGAATGGATAATTTCCTCTTTATCAAAAGGGAAAAAGACTGCCAGCACATGAAGTTAGCAAGATTTTAAAGGATTATTTAAATGAGCTGAGTATGATGGCAGCTAATGAGAAATAAACAGGGTATACATTAAAACCTGCTAGGTATATTAGAAGTACAGTAGAAATAACCTTCAGTCAAAGATGAGGTACACAATAATATGCACATTTTACAAATGAGGATACATCAAGACACAAATGAAAAAATGACAAAGCATAGCATTTCTTACACATAGTGCAAATAAATGAAATACCACAGTTTCTTGTTGTGAGTGCTTTGATACTATACAAACCCCACAACTAGATAGGAAAGATAAGAGCCAGGTAAATGCGTGAGAATAGCTTTGTACACATGAAATTCAGTGTACTGTGAAAGAGTGCTAGGATGTGGAATCTGCATATACAAAATTCAGGTAATAAAAGTACAAGTAAAAGTTTTTGCCACACATTCCTCTATCTCAGTAAAAGTCAGAATATTGAGAAATGTCAGAGAAGTAACAAAATACCAGTTTGGATGAACATCACAGCAAATATGTGGAGAATTGCTACTTGGAATAGTTTATTCTTAAACAAGTCCAGGTGTATCCAAATTTAAAATACATTCCTGTGTCTTACTCACAGTTAGTCAAAACATACTTTTGATATCTTTGGGAGCATGGCAAGAGGTGGTACTATGACAACTTGAGTGAGGGGGATTTTTTTTGTAATGCAGTACTTTAGTTTCACCAGCAAAGTTGTATGCTGACAGAGGTGTTGGTTCCTACATAGCTCAGAGTGCAAAACAGAAAAATGACTGTCTTCATTTGTATTACCAAAGAGGTAGATGGCAATCATTTAAAAATAGTGTGACCAAGCACTGTACAGAAACAGCCATGTTTAAAAATGTTTTTGCCCATTTCTGTGCCTATCTAAATGAGCATCAAAGAGCTCATAAGGAAACTGGAGGGAAACCAAATATTGCTTTTATATTAGTTTTCACCACAAAGGAAGAAAGAACAATTAGAGTCCTGTGAAATTATTTTACAGCTTTGGGGAGGGCGGGGGATTCATTGTATTTCAATTTACTTGAGAGGCCTGGAAAGTGTGGAGGATAGGGGAAAGAATTGCAGAGTAAGCCCACCTTGGAGTGGGGAGCTAAGTCCAGTCCCACAGGATAGTTACCACTACTGCAAGGGTTTCTATTTTAATTTTACAGGTTGTTTTATGCTTAATTTCTCTGTTCACACTTGCCATTTACTTCAGGATCTCTGTTCACTTGTAGAGAAGGTAAAACAAGGTCAAAAATAGAAGTATTGTGGGAAAAACTAGTAGCAGATTTGATTGGAATTCTATGGGTTAGGGAGTGGGACTGTATAACAGTGAATCTTCATTAGGATTGATACAATACTGCACTGGATGGCATTCATCAGAGCATTCTAAAGGAACTAAGAATGAAGAATCTACAAATATTAAATCTGGCCAGAAAAGATGATCTTCTCTACCCTACCCCAAAAGTTTACATCTTTCAGCAAAATATTTTGGCCAAACTGGATAATGTTTCTATTCAAACTTTCTGGTTGGATTATATTTCCCATGATGCACCACTCATTTTAATTAACAGAGATGATATGCTATGGGAGTCTTTGATTAGGTGGCTCACTGGGAGCTATAGTCTGGCCAGAAAGCCCATTTCACAAATGAGAATAGAACTATGGCCCCTGAACCACATCATCATGAGGTACTGTGGTGCCATTATGAATCCTTTTATTTTGTTTTCCTGCAAACCATTGCTATTTTTATGGAACGCAGATAATTGTCATAAAAATAGTTGTTTAAAAACAATTTTTCATTGAAAAACAGTTTAGATGAAAAACGTTAATCGGCCCTATTTTCACGTCCATAACAAATTTGTGTGTCCTTTTTTAAAGAGATTAATTGTGCTCCCAATAATTATAGATCAGTGAGCATCACCGCATTAACATGAAAAAACATGGGATCTAATTCCACAAGTGATTCTGCATGGTTGGTCCCCTATGCCCATATGGGAGCCCATCAAGGGTTATATGTAAAGAGCTACTTGCAGTGTTGGGTGAGGTTTTAGAAGTAAAATAATCAAGTCTAAGCTAACAGACAAAAACTAACATGACTTCTTTAACAGTAATTTGCCTCTTTAACCAACTGGAACTCTATCAAAATAGCAGCTAATGGAAACACCGCTGAAAACAAGGTGAGCTTTGTGTACCTCGAAATCTCATTTCTTTCACCATCCGAAGTAGCCAGTAAAAGATAATGCCTAACCCATCTTTTCGCTTGACAAATTCATTAGTTTTACCTAAACCTTCTGATGGAATCTCTCTCCAGAGCTGTTTGAGGAAACTTGATGCATGCAGGGTAAGAGGCAAAGGCCTGTTATAGATTAAAAAACAGATTTAAACAACAGCATAGAAAAGTATGGCTAAACAGCTACATCAGTAGGGAAGAACAGACTGAGCAATCAGTAGTAAAATAAGTAGTGTATAATGTTAGTCAACTTCTAGACTGTTAGTGGGATGGCAAACTATACTCAGTACAAAATTACGGGTCTGGGAAGAATTTTGCTTGATTCTGTAAAAGCTTATCTGTCATAGAAAACTGGTTAGCAAAGTAGTAGATGAAATCCAGTGTAGATAAGTGCAAGGTAAAGCACATTCAAAGAAGCAGTGATGGGTTCCAAATTCAATATAACCGCTCAGCAAAAGATCCGGGCATCAGTACAAAAAACTCATTGAAGATAATATGCTTAGCATGTAACAGCAGTTAAAAAAGCAAGTAAGATGTTACTCTGTTTTACAAAGGGTAGAGAAAAGATACCACTATATAATTCAAAGATACTGTCTTCATTGTGCATATTGCATTCAGTTTTGGTCATCATCTCAGAAATGAGTGAGAAAAAGAACTGGTCCAGAGAAGGGTGCTACAAATTATTAGATTGTTATTGGGGGATTTCATATAAGAGCTTAAAAAGACTAGATTAGTGAAGCAGGTATCAAAGAGCCAACTCTGTTAGCCCTGGTCTACACTAGGGAGTTATTGTGAAATAACTCTCCTTATTTCAAAATAACAAGCGAAGTGTCTAAACTGCCAAGCCTGTTATTTTGAAATAAGAGGGGCTGGTTATTTCAAAGTAGTAACTCCTGCTTGTCATGAGGAATAATACTTATTTCGAAATAGTGTTATTGTGGATGCTCCACTGCTGCTATTTCAAAATAACTACTCCCCAGAGTAATTCAAAATAATTACTTCCAAGTGTTTCCTGAGGCTCTAAGTTGAGGTAGCACATCCACATTAAGGGAGCCTGCTTCGGACTAATTTCAAGGCTTCCTCATAGTATGGATATGCTATTTTGAAATTATTTTGGGAGTTATTATTTTGAAATAGTTATTTCTAAATAATTTCCTAGTTTAGACATGTCCTTACCCAGCCCCATCTTACGTAGCCACTTTGAAGTGTTTCCAAAGTTTATAGTACAAATTTGTCCAGCCAGTGTTCCAAATCTGTGTGTGTACCAGGCAATCTTATTACACTGGCCCTGGGCCATTCAAGAAGTTTTTCATTTTAGTTTTTAAGGGACAAGATTAAGGTTAAGAGGAGATATGGTAGGAGTATATAAAATAATAGTACAGAGAAGGCTAATCAAGTACTGTCTCGTTACAAGAGGATATCTAAAATTAAAAGACAACATTTAAAAATGGTGAAAGGAAATCCCTTTGTACATGATACTCAATGCCACAAGATATAATTGTGGCAATTACCTTAGAAAAATCTAAACTTAGATTTAACATTTATATGAACAAGAACAGTGCTTGCAGTTGTATTAGACTGAAATAAACATAACATGCTTCAGAGTATAAGTTCATCATCAGATGACATCAGGAAGACATCTCCTCACTAGTATTGCACAATTGGCCAAGTGTTGTATTATGGTTTTACCCCTTCCTCCAAATGCCTGTTGGAAACAGGCAACTAAATTAATTAGATCAAAGTCTCATCTGCCATTCTTCTGTTCCTCTTTTGGAAATACAGAATCTGAAGATTGCTGAATTTTATTAAGACTTTACCTTTGAACAGTCTAACCAGTCAACTTATTTGCAATCACCTAAGCAATGGTATGTGGAACCAGTGATGAAAACAGTGATTGCCCTTCAGAGCAACAAGCACACTGGAATTTTATATTTAAGGAAATTACCACCATTCCAGTTCACATTTTTCTTCTTATGCCAGATAAACATTTTCCAGCTAAAGTATATATTAACTTGTGTAATTTCCAAGTTCAAAGGAACAGAGTCCATTTATTATTCTTAGTTATGGCAATTAAGTCTCTATCTTGAGGCGTGATGCATGTACAGTTTTTATTGTTTTTGCACGGTGTCTTCCATCCAGGCTGCTAGAAGATATCTGAGATTTTTCTTCTATCAGGCTATCTTTGGACCCATTTTGCCTCTGAATGGAACAAAGACAAAAATACACTGGTGAAAATACAATGACGAATTAAGATATTACTTCCTTTGGTGCAGGCTTAGCCTTAATCCCATATTGTGATCATCTACTTTAGAGCTGTACAGAGTCCTAGTGGAGTCAATGGAACTCCTCACAAGCACATTGACCAAGCACTGGCTCCTTATGCATGACTGGGGCTTATATATTAAAGAGACCTGGTTGAATTATTGATAGTGTTCCTTTCAAAAATGCTATGTTTCTTTGTACAGAAACACTAAGAATACAAAATTAATTGTTACAGTAGTGGTAAATGATATAAATGATCCATAAATATTTAGCAGAATGTGATGGGTATTTGCTTACTTCAAAGACAGGTGAAATATAGGCTAAAGATGTGACAACTATCTGATTTGCTTCCCTATACCAGCCTTATGGAACAAAAGTGCATTTGATCACATACCAAAACTACATTCCCATTTCTCTTAATTGGCCCAGGCCCACATACTTTTGCCATCCTCTCTGTGGCAAACCCATTACATGCTTGTTCCTGCTGGCCTGGCCCGTTCCTCTTCCCCCTGTCTGTTTTCCATTGCCATGTTTGGACTCATATTCTATATCCAGCAAATACCAACACTAAATTATTTGGTACTTGGCCAGTTACTGAAAACATACCTATCTGGAATTTGTTTGGCATTTAGTGTTTGAATGCTTGTAAATTGCTGCATGCATTAATCTTACTTGTAATATCTTTATTCCATATTGTAATATTGGAGCGAATGTAGTGGGAGCCTCTGTGATCGTATTAATTGTCATACAGCAGAGGGAGATTGATTAATGTGAAGAGCTGCTCTTCTCATTAAGCATGACTCAGAATCTTGGAGAAAGTCTATTATATATACAAGTGCTCTTAGCTTTCTAATAATTTCATTTTCATAACCAAAACATCCATTTGATGGTGAAGATAATTTATTTTTTCTTGCTATAAATGTCTTAAGTTCTAAAAAGGGCAAGAAGTTAGAAGTCAAAAACACTGTTACTGTTCACTGAACATGCTGGGTCCACAGCTTCATCACTTCTAACAGCAGCAAAAAAACTGAAACAAATGTCAGGTAAGAAAGGGTTTGCCACAGAAGCAAATGACTTAGTAATCCTCTAAATAATCAAGCTGACTACATGCACATGAGCGGACCCTATTTTCTAATATATGCAATCAGACAAGCAGAGCTTTCCAAAGGTTCCTAGAAATCTTCACATTGCTGAAAAAAAACTCGCAGCAAACTGACATTGAGACAGACAGCAGTTAGTGGCAATCACAGAGGAAGTGGCACCTACTTTTCTCAGGACCAGGAATTTATGTAGAAACCCACCTGATATTTTTCCCTTGTCCACTTAATTATATATTTTGATAATCCTTTAATATTAGATTTTTATAAATAAAAATCTAAATTTTTTTTGGACATCAGCTGTTATTTCTGAAAAGAACACTGGGATAACATGACACACAAAACAACTTTCCAATTCTCCAGCAAATTCTCAAAATGGTTTAAAAATTATGAAATAAATCTCAAAATTCTAGTAAAGAAGGGAATTAGCCCCATTTTAAATCTGGAAAGGGAGGCTAAAAGTCATGTTCATGTCACATAGCAAGTCTTTGGCAAAGAAAAGAAACCACAATTGTTTTTACTCTGGCATTTTAAGCATTAGGCAATACTTCCTCTTACAGTGATTACATTGTTCAGGGTTACACAGATACAACCAACACTATCAAAGCAAACTACTTTTGAGCTACATATTACTTTTAGAAGTACCAACATTTTGAAATCAAGAAGAAAAAACACTGATCTGGTGGGACAAACTGTACGCCTCAGTCTCACTTGTTATCATATAACCAATGTCATTTTGGGGGTCTTGAGAGTGCCTTCAGTGCACAACTGTGTTGGGGTACATTGGCCAGGAAGTTTTAGTATTTTTGTGTGCAGCGTGAGAGCGGTCTCCAATCATTACTGCTCCAAGTCTGCCAATTCACTTCTCATGAGGAAAAACAGAAAGAAACCAAAGCACACAAGTTCTCCCTGTGATAAGAGTTTGTTCTGGGCATTCATAGAAACAGAGCTGGAAGAGACCTCAGGAGGTCATCAAGTCCAGCCCCCAGCGCAAGGCAGGACCAATCCCAATTTATTCAGGAAATGAAAAGATTCTAACCTTTTATAGTGTATTTAAAATACTTATATCACAAACACTCACGAATGGACCTTTCTCTGAAAGCAACTAATGTCTCCATATTGAGAGTTTTGACTTGCACGAAGAGCTGAATATTTAATAAAATATGTTGAAATTCTTCATTCCAGAAAGAGGGCAACTAGTGAAGTGAGGATGTGTCACCTTTCCAGGACAAAATGAAAACAACAGGAGCAAAGAGTATTTACTGGCTAGAAATGAGGGATGTGTAGCAGAATCAAAATGGTTACCTTAGAGTTGAACCAGTAAATCTTAACTAGCCCTCTAAATCTGTAAAATCCTAGTGGAGAGAAGGCATTGTAATTTTACCTTCCTGTAGAACTAGTCAAGAACAACCTCTGATCAGCAGATCTTGACTAGCTTCAAAGAGGTAAAAACTACAGTGCCTTCTCTCCATTAAGATTTTACACTGAGTTACCTACCGCAATGTAAGAAACCTTTTTTGTAGCCTCTGAAGGTGAACCAACACCAGAGAGTTCAGTGGAAATCACGGGAATAAGTCCCAACTTTCTAAGGACTAGGAAGCTAGATAGAATCCTGTGTGGCATTTTCCATTGTGTGCTTGAATTAAATATATCTGGTTTTCTTTTAACATTATGTTTTTATAATATAATTCTGTATTTTTAGATCACCTACTGTGCCTAAAGTTTATTACCATTATTTCACAGCTGATATCTGTGCAGTCCTATTTTATGACTACTTGTTTTTTTAATTACTATGTTTTTCCCTGCTGAGTCCACCAGACTTCTCAGCCAATCAGTTGAAAGAGGATTGTTCCCCTCTGAATGGTTAGAAAATGAGAATTACAAACCTTGGACAGCAGCAAGGCACTGTGGAGTGGAGGGAAGATGTTAGTTCAAAAGTTGATTTTTCTAGAGGGCATCTGGCAAATGAATTGCCCTAGTTGATCCCACTTGTATTAAAAGAGGAATAGGCCCCAAAAGGAGGAAATATCTTCCAAACACCAGAGAGTCAGAAATGGCAGTATGGTAAATTATAAAATTCAATATATCTACATTATAAAACTGAAGTTTATCTTTAAGCAGTTACTTCTACATAATTTAAAGCTTATTCCATATTGGTTGGAGGGACTCAGTAAGCTCTACTACTAAGTGAAAACAAAAGATCAAGTATTAGATATATTTTCCCCATTAAATATTTCTTATTGATAATTCCATCAGGAAAACAGCCTAAGGGCATAGACTTTAAATCCAGAAGCACCATCATGATCATCTAGTCTGACTTCCTGTGTATCGCAGGTCACTAAACCTCCCCCAGCCATTCCTGTAATAAATCCCTAGCCTTTGGCTGAGTTTCCAAAGTCCTGAAATCATGATTTAAAAACTTCAAATTACAGAAATTCACCATTTATACTCATTTAAATCTGCAGTTGACCCAGGTCCCATGCTGCAGAGGAAGGCAACCCACTCCCCCCGCACAAACCAAGAAAAAATCCTTCCCAAACCAAATACAGCAGCCAGTTAAACTCTGAGCATGTAGGCAAGACCCACCAGCCAGATACCTGGTAGAGAAGTTGCACAATTACCAACCTGTTGTGAAGCTGGGATGCTGGGACCCTGAGCATCTGAGGAATGTGTCACAGGCAACGGAGGCACAAGATCTGCTTTTGCACTGGAAAAAAACATGAGATTGCACTAGTTCAATGACTACTGTGGAAGAAAAAAAATGCACTGAATAAATCTGCAGTTTAAAAACCTACTATTTGCATTTTTTCCTCAAAGGGTAAAAATGAAAATGGTCCTAACAATAACACTTTCATATTAGAACAATCAACAGTTATAGATCGGAAAAAGAAACCTGTTGCTTTTTCTCTCTCTTTTAAAAAAAATATTTTAAGGATAAATTCTGTGATTTGCTAAGGCAATGGTTTCCAACCTTTTTACACCCAAGATCACTTTTTAAATCTCCGAACAGGCGAAGATCTACCGCCCCGCCCCTTCCTTGAAGCCCCACCCCTTTCTTGAAGCCCCGCCCTCTCTATTTTCCTCCTGTCCATCACAGATAATCAGAGTCAGGAGTCCTACTCCCCTCCCCTTCAACATTTAGAGGGTAGGAGGTAGCTGCTCACCTTTGCTCATTTTTAAATACTTAGGGATGGGAGCACGGCTGGTGTAGAGCCTTCGTACTAGGGATGTGAAGGAATAGTCGACTATCCGATAAGCAAATGTTTATCGGATAGTCAACACGCTAGTTGACTAGTCGCTTCCCGCTCTTGCTGCCTCTATCAGAAAGAGACAGCAAAGGGCGGGAAAGAGGAGGGGGAACTTGAAAGCAGCTGTGCTGCATGAAGCCTGGGGCCAGATCCTGGGCTCAACTCAGTGCTGCCACTTTGAAACACCACGTGCAGCCCAGGAGCAGCTGGGGTGTCCCCAGGCTGCACGCAGCCTTTCAAAGCGGCAGCGCCACATGGAGCCCAGGATCAGCTGGGGACTCCCCCGCTGACCCTGGGTTCTGTGTGGCACTGCCACTTTGAAATGCTGTATGGAGCCCAGGGTCAGCGGGGGAGTCCCCAGCTGACCTCAGGTTCCACACAGCGCTTTCGCCTTTGAAGTGTAGCCACCCTATCAACTAATCGAATAGTCGATGCAAAATGCATCAACTATTTGATTAGTCAATTACTCTCAATTTAACAGCCCTACTTTGTACCAGCTATACACTCTGCCAGGGACATTCTCAGGAAGCTGCTTCTGCCAGCTTAAGATCTTACTGCATCATGCCCTTTATTGTTTTACTCACTTCATAAATGGTCTCTAGTTAATCTCTATCAGTCTGTTTTTAGCTATCAACAGATGAGTAGATGTCTACTGGAACTTAAGATCTGCACTGCAGCAAATGAAGAAAGTGAATCAAGGGCATATATAGTTGGAAGCAAATTTACAAGAACTCTCTTCTTTTCTCTCAGGCACCTTCACAACCTACTGCTGAAGAGCTGGGTATATTCATTTAGGTTTCTGGACTAGACTGTAATTATTTCTAAACAGGTCACCACCATTGAGCAAAGCAAACATTCAAGTTCCAAAAGGCAATGAATGTTTCCTGCTTCACTGAGTGCTTAGCTCTTACAGTGTTACCTGAGCATTATGTCAACGAAATAGTCACATATATGCTATTACTAATTTATCTGTGAGTTCAGAGGAGCATCTGTGTAATATTAAAACCTTCACATTCCACATACTTCATTTCGGACAGAACAGATCTCTCGCCATCAGAACACTGGGACCGCCGGTACTGCCGGTAGCTTCGGGGGGAATGGGAATGTCTAATGCGGATTGGGTCACCTTGAGTCCTGAATGAGAAAAAAATTCATAGTATCAAACTAATACATCTGAGACTTTGCACCGGAAAAGGAAATTTAACTTTGATTTGTAAAATCCTCCCTTTTCCCGTTAAGAATAACAGGTGGCTTTCTGTGCTCACTGAATTCAAAGGAGTGATCCTTTCTTTATGAGTTTGTATTTCAAACTTTACATTTAAACTTGTATTTCAAACTGCATTCTAAATGATACTAGCATGTGTATGTTGGAGAATGAAATTGTTTAATTAAAGCATGGACTTAAAAAAAAATCAAATCTGTGGAATTTTAGTCATCACCATACTTTTTGCTCAAGGGTACAGCAGAGAAGCAAACTAGAAATCCACTTCTGTCAAAAGCAGTTGCCAATACTACACAGCCTCCTGGATGGCCAGTTGTCAAGTGAAATGGATGTATGCCCTGAAGGGATCTGCATTGGTAGCTGCCTGTGATTAGAGGGGTCACACAGGTAAAGCATACGCTTTAAAAAAGAATCCGACTAAAAAGATAAATTTAAAAAAATGAAAAAAATTAGAAAATAAATGTTTACAAGGCTTTTGTGAGTGTAATCAGAGACTGACATGGCAGTTTAGGAGAGGATGATGATTTTGTTAGCATTTATGTGAAGTTTACATTTATGTACCTAGTTTAAAAATTATTCACGTGTCTCTACCTATTTGAGCTACTCTTTTCTGGATCAACATTTTCTGAGGAGTTCAAAAGATCAGAGATTATCAGGATGCTGTTCTAGTCTCAGACAAGCTATTCCACAGAGAGAGGCTCTGATGAGAGGATGAAAAACAGGCGATTAAGCATACATACAGAAAAATCCATATTTCATAACAAATAAGCTCACTCTATTTTTGTGTATGGAATCTCTTTCAGCTGCTCCTCAGACAGGCCAGATGGATCCACAAGTTCCTTCCTGAAAGGATTAGACAAGGAAGATGAAATTCCAGAAGCTAACAAATCCAAAACAATTTATTTTCATTGTATTAGACCACAAAGCTTTTCTGAAATCAGCTGTATTCAACATAAAGGCTATCTAGATGCCGACACAGGAAACCTATTAAGAAGTGTGTCTAAATCTTGATCCCTTCCCTTTTGTACCCTATTTCTCCACACTCTATCTGTTCATTTCAGTCTCTGTGATCTGAAGGTCAGGCACTGTATCTTCATAAATGCTGGCAACTAGTAGAAGAGGCTCTGATCCTAACTGGTGATGTACTGAAAAATAATAAAAATAAGAACATTTTGGAGTCTAGGTAGGAACACATCTTAACCTTAATGAAAGTGAAATGCACTGTTTTCATAGATGATAGAAAGAAAAAAAATACTGATGTACAGGCAGTCCCCGACTTACGCGGATCCGACTTATGTCGGATCGGCAGTTACGAACGGGGCTGCCCCAGAGTACACGGACTGCGGGCCCTCGCAGTCCTGCCGCCCGTGTACTCTGGGGCTTTCTCTGCGTCTCCCTGGTCTGCAGACCAGGAAGACGGAGAGCAAAGCCATGGAAGGGCTCGGGCAGCCCAGGAGCGCCGGCTTCCCCGCGGCTTTGCAAAGCTGCGGGGGGGCTCAGGCAGCGAGGCAGCCCAGGCGCGCCTGGACTGCTCCGCTGCTGGCTTCCCCGAGGCTTTGCAAAGCCTGAATCAGGACGCCTGGGGCAGAGCAGCTGGGGTGCTGCTGGGTTGCTCCAGCAGCGCCGCTCCTCGGCACTACTGGATCAACCCAGCAGCACCCCAGCTGCTCTGCCCCAGGCGTCCTGATTTAGCCGCTGCTGAAACTGACCGCCAGTTCTGACTTACATACAGATTCAACTTAAGAACCCCAAGCGTCCCCAAGTCAGCTGCTGCTGAAACTGATCAGCAGCTGATTCCAGGAAGCCCGGGCAGAGCAACTCTGCCTCGGGCTTCCTGTAGTCAGCGCTGGTCAGTTTCAGCAGCGGCTGAATCTGGACGCCAGTTCCGACTTACATACAGATTCAACTTAAGAACAAACCTACAGTCCCTATCTTGTACGTAACCCGGGGACTGCCTGTACTCTAAAAGGCAGAGGGGCTTGATTCTTCTCTGCCCTGAGCAGAGTGGCTCTAGCACAATACCAAATCAGAAGGATAATGTTTCACATCCATGTTGCATGACAAACTGATTAAATAAGGTGCAGAGCAATAGTGAATCTGTCCCAATAGCTGTCCTTTCTAAACAGAAGCACCATACACTGTCCCTTCAAGCGTCACTAGTTCCAGCTATGTCCTGTTCTATTATTCTGTATTAAATCTAAATGCTGTACATTCCTAAAGGCTAATTTCATTCTAGCAAAATGCTGTAGCCACACATTGGTTTTATAATGTATATAAAGGAACTAAAAGTTTCAGAGTAACAAAACTTACTGGATATGTTTCCATAACTCTTCCTTTGCTTGTACATCTGGGCTTCTCCTATAAACACCAACACACACACACACACAAGACAGATTTATGAAAATGTCATATTACTTAATATGCTGTGGTAGAATTATGACCTTTAATAGCGCATATCAAGCATAGAACTTATGCTAAGTGTAATCTCACACTGACTTGAATGGTAACATTTGCTATCTGGGAAAAGAATTAAACTTTACTCAAAATGATAAGTTGTATCTGGTATGAAAGTCTATGGGTTAAACCACAATTTCTTTTCTTCTTGCCTTCAGTAAAAGTATGCATAAAATGTTCAAAACAGAAGTGCTCTTCATTACAAGTTCAAGAAAGCTGGAGTCAGACTGTATTCTGCATAAACTTGGTACAGCTAAGGACTGAGGTCTGTCTCTTAGGTTGTGTCTACATGGCAGCTGGGAACATGCCCAAAAGGAGCAGTGCCTCAGGCAGAAAGGGCAGGGCCAGTGCAACCAGTCTTCAGTGCTGTCTGCACTGCGGCATGCCCCTGCTCCTACCCTTCAGCACTGCCTTGCCTGCAGTGCCCCTGCCTCCCCAGGCAGCCTTAAGAGTTTCCTGCAGCAGACTAGGCAGCACTCCAGTTTATGGGCAAAGCTGATCTGGAGCTTGAGTGGCTAACCTGAACCAGTGCCATAATGTCCACACAGTTATTTTTAGACCATCAGCACAAGCCCCAATAGCATGAGTCTGCTTACTTGCACTGGAAAGGTTGCTGCCAGCTGCAGTGTAGACATACCCTTTGTATACCCTTTGTTTTGAAGTTTAATTCACTCACTTGCAGAGAGCCTACACAAGCCCTCTAGGCACTTAAGGCCTGGGTAGAGAAAGGAAGGAGCAGAGAGTGACCATGCAGGGGGATATAACATATCCAGTCCCAGTAGATTATGTGGGTCTAATGATGAGATTCCTTGAGCAATTTTGGTCACTATTCTGCTCTATAAAACTGGAACAAACAGCCAGAGACAAGATATGCTGGAGTCCCTAGACCACAGCAATTTGGGAGCAGAATTACCACGGAGTTCACTGTACAAAGCTTAGTTCCTCTGGCTTTGTGTGGTGAGTGGTAAATTTCAGCCAGTATGATTTTGTACATGATTACTAATGCCACATACAATGAAAATATTTTATCATGATTACTAATGCTACACACAATGAATAGATTCTGCTCATGGTGAAATATATTGCCAGAACACGGAAATTTCACCCCACTTTTCAATCAAAGTAAAGAATGAGTCATGGGCACAGATATTTTTCTTCGAATTACAGAAGTTTGTATTTCATTTTAGAGATAACAGTGAAACACTCTTGTAGCTTAAGTAACATTTTTAAATTCCCATTCATAATCACCAAAGGCTATGCAGCCTAATGGATAAAATGTATGCTTTACACAACAGAGAGTGGGCAAAGGCTGTAGTTGTAGTAACATTTCACATAAGTCTTTTTATTATCATCGTTGCTAACAAAATTGGTAAGAATTAAAGCCTTAAATTCTATGCCTCTTTGCACTCAGCCATAGAAAGATGTGATAATATAGAGAAAGACATGTCAGCAAAGAATCATCTAATTAAACAGTCAAGTTAAGCAAGAAGGATCTGGGATACAGAATAGCTCAAGAGACTTGGTAAATGGGATACAAAACACTTTGATTTTGACATTGGTTCATATCCATTCAAAAGACCAAGATGTGTTCAGCCCTGCAAGGATGCACAATGGAAAAGAGAGACTGTCACAATTGTTGATTGCACTCTCACTGAGCACAAATATAACACAAGGTTATAGAGTGCACAGTGGCACTAGCCTCTCCAAAAGGTAAGAAGGGGCTGCGGCCTGGCCCCTGCACTGGCCAATCCTATACAACATTCTCTAAAAGGGTATTATAGCCTTACACTTAGAACAGCTCTGGACAGCACAATGCCTCTCAGAGCAGCCTGTGCGGAGATTCTCCTACAAGAAGCAGTGCGTTCAAGGAAGAAATGAACAATGACCTTTGTTAAAATGAACTGGTCAGTCCAACCTAATAACTAGGTAACAATAAACCACCATCACAAGTGGCACTTTTATTGGCGCACACAGCTCAACAGATGACTTCAGTGGAAGCAGGAGTAGGTACCACGTAAGGTGCCCAGGACTGAATGGGAATGCAGAATGAACCACCTTCCCACCATTATGAGGAGGAACCTCTCCAAGTCAAGGACCAGACATCCCAACAGGTTAGTGTTTAGGAGCTTCCACTGCTCCTCATGTTAGACCTGTTCTACAGGTAGAGGTTTTCAGTCTGCAGGGCCGATAATCTGCCTCCACTCATTCTTTATCAATCTCCTTCTGGCACTGGCCAAATTGGCCATCCTTCAGTTCAGGAGGAGGAAGCTGCACTAGATGGTGACCAGCAACTATGAAGCCTACTTCCATTTCCTAGTTGTTTCACACAGTTCTTGAGTGCAGCATCCACCAAATCCCAGTACTCCTTTGCAGAGTGGTGGGTGCTATCCAGGGCTCTCTACTCAGCATTCCCATCTGGTTCCTTTGCTTTAAACGTTACATCCTCACCAATGTTTTTTTTTTTCCTTCTTCATTTTTTTGTCCCATTTACTTGGCTTCTGGTTCTACCCTCATTTGAAGGCCAAGTCTTTAGTTCACACTGGGTGTAGGTCCACGTCTTCCCGCAACTGAAATAGGTTGGCACCTTTCACAAACTCTAACCTTATTGGAGGAAAAAAAGAACTAGGATGAAAGTGGGTCCCACTTTTGGGAGATACTTAACTAGGAAGGAAGAGCTAGCATTAAGTCCAGCTATGTATTGTTTAGCTTGACCATTTAAACTGGGTATGCCTTTTCTAATGTGACTATTTATAAATGAGTGAGGAGTAACTATTACTCTAGGGCTATGTTTACACTACGATTTTTCCCAGCAAAAAATATGCTAAAGAGGGACTCATTTGCATGAGTCACAATTTCATTTGCATATTTTCTGCAAATCCGTTTTTGCACTGGGGTTTTTGTACAAAAACAAGCAGTGTGGACGTTTTCTTTTTGTGAAAAAAAAACCTTTTCCACAAGATCCCAGCGCAAAAAAGGATCAGCAGAAAATATGCAAATGAGATTGCGACTCATGCAAATCAGTTCCTCATTAGCATACATTTTGCCGAGGAAACTCGTAGTGTAGACGTACCTAGCTGACCCACAAGTTACAGGCTGGATGCTGAAATTACTGAGTGAATTGATATGGCCTGCATTGTGCTGGGGTTCCCCTTTGGCCGTACATCCCTCTGACTAATAGTAAGAATAATTAATTATGTTACATTTACATAGTGCTTTTCTTCCCCAAAGGTCCCATATTTATACAGCTAACCTGTTTTCTCACATTTCTAGACAATTTTTAAAAGCACTCAGCGCTGGCCTAACTCTGCTTCCTCTGAAATCATTGGGCTTTATTGATTTCAGTAGGTGCAGAGTTAGGGTTTTTAAAAAAAAAAAAAACTGACTGTACATTAGATGATGGCCAGAAATGTTGTGAATTGAAAGGATCCAGAGAAGTGAAAGAAGAGTGGGGAACGGAGGGCATGGCAGAGTTCTGCATGTGTATTAAATGTAAAGTAGCCTCTGCTGAATTGGTATTAGACATCTTAATGGCTGAGCCTAATCAAGATAGTTTAAAGCTCCCCTGCACTGCACATTGTTTTTTCCATGAAAGAAAAAACAGATACTTTTGTCTCACCTTTCACGTCACTGAGTTATTTCTAGCTGAGCGGAATAACATTTAGTAACATTTGTTTTGAGTTATTAAATGTTTTAGAGATGATCTAGAGATAGGTGCAAGAACTGTTTTACTTTTGAGATTTTACAAGTGCTCAAGCATTAAAAGACATGATAGTGTTAGTGACTGGCATGATATAAATACCAAAGAAATCAGAAAGGTGGAAATAACCCTTTGCATCTATGTTTTTCCAATGGCATTCAAAGTAAATCTTTTTACACTATTGTAGATTTTGTCATAAAATTTGATGGTGGGTTTTTTTGTGTATATCAATGTATTTCTATTTTTCTATTCCCCCACTTCTCTTCCTCTCTCTTCTGCCTTCACCTCCTTTTCCTCTTCTTCCTCCTTCATGCCATGCTGCTTTCACCTCCCTAAGTAAGGTAATAGTTAGGTTTAGGAGTGGAGATTTTAGTGGCATCTTTCACCTCATAATTTTGAACCAATGTTGTCTTTTCCTTCAATCCCAGACTACAAAGCAGCAGCTGTGAACTCTGCACTGCCCTGGGGCTCTTCTGAATCTGAATAATCAGCCTCTAGGGAATGTGAAAGATGAATGCAAGATGCACCCTAGCTCCCCAAGGGAGGCTTAGGCTAGCATCTTGCTTTTATGATGCAAAGACATCCTAGCTAGCCTGAGATAGGAGAGCAACCACATCACTCCTGAACCCAGTGCCCCCACAAGACAACGTATTGTGCAATCCACTAAACCATTGAATTTGAGCACAGTGTTACTTCTGTATGTAAATAAAACTGTTCATTACTTGGCCCTGGGTATCCTAGTATCACCCATCATTGTCAGCAGCCTGATTTACTTTGAGAAATCCTGACTTTGGGTGTAAAGTCTCAAGACCAGGAAAAATAAGAAGCTAATTAGACTTTTCACCATTTTCTAGAAGCCACATATCCTGAACTTGTAAACAATTCCCCTGCATTTCTGAGCTTTCATCTTTAATGCACATCAGCCTTCAACATCAAGGGGCAAGGGACTTTTCCATTAAATCAAAGGCATCCTTGATCATTAATACCAAACAACAGGTTTTTTCTCTCTCTCTCCCTCTCCTCTCCCCATATTTTACAATCTCAGAGAAGAGTTTGACTACTACTGTC